GACTTTGAAAGTTTATATCAAATATTTAAGCATTTTAACAATTTTAAATGAAAACTCAAAACTAAATTGTTGTAGATCTTCTGGAGAGCTACAATTTTATACAAATCTTAACTTCATCCAACTCCATTTCTCAGATGATTTTTCTAAGATAACAAGTCCCTTTACATGCTTAATATGTGCTGAAAGTTTTTATAAAATTTTCAAGTATCTTAACGACTCCTCATGTAAAACTAAAAACTAGAAAGTTGTGTGGATCCCATGAGGAGAAATTTTCCAATAAAAATAATTTTCATTCCACACCTTATGAAGAAGATGTGATTTCTATAAGGTAGAATGGTAGCCTTAAAACACGGGTCCAAAATGGCGTGGCAAGCTTTCTGTGTTAATATGAGGCAGTAGACTCTTCTTACATGTTCAGTGCGCAACATATTTTTGCCATGCCAATGCAGGTGTCATGACAAAGTGTTTTTGCCATGCTATGTTATCTGGCACAGTCAAAATGGTTAGGAATCAAAATAAAAATTGAATGGAACTTTTTCTAACACTACCGGATACCAAAATTTCCTTATCGGCGAGAAATCAATAGAAAATATGAAATACCGACGGGAAAATGTGAAAGACAATTTCCCTGTCAGTTTACAGATGAATATACTGACAGAACAAAAAAGTGATTAAAATAGTAAATAAGATTTTTAGAAATAATAAAAATCGAGCAAGTAGCAAGCAGTCCATGCAGAAGACTTAACTTTTTCCCCAACACTCAACAGACTTATTTGACTTTGAATTTTCCTTTGACGAGTCTCGTTCGGCAGTGGACAACGAACTTGGAAAAGTCTTAGCCGCTTGTCAGTGTCAGTGTGCACTTTATAGTAGATGAGAGGCCAACATTCAAGCCATTGTAAATTTATTTTCTTGGCACCACTAGTCGACTGCTGCCTGAGTGACTCGCTACATATCCTCTCTGCCCCATTTTCCAATGTCTTCTCATCCCTTAGGGCTCGTTTGCATTTGCTGCACTCTAATACATCTCAATTCACATAGATTAGGTACAATTAAAGTACTGTAGAAAATTAACTATTTTTTTATATAAATCTCTCTCACCCGTATGGATGGGAGTAGATTAGGATGTAGCCAAACAAACCCTTGTTTAGTTTGGTTAAGCTGACTACTGTAAGAGGCACTCTGAATGCTGAGTAGCAGGCAGAGGAGCCGTGGAGGCGGAGCTCAACGTATATACATATAGGCTGTGCCTGCTTGTGGCTGTGAGGCGGGGAGTAAAACGTGCCGTGCGTACCTCGAGAGCGCCTGCTCGAGGTGGGAGAAGAGCTCAACATATATACATAGGCTGGGCCTCTGTCATCCAACTCCGGCTGCTCGCCCTCCTTCTCCACAGTGGCGCGCCGTAGCTGCAGCCGCCACTCTGTCTGGCTGACCACCTTCGTCGCTGTTCTCTTCGCTGACCCCAGCCCACCAGGGCCATGCGGCCCAGAGTCTGAAACTTTTCCAGACGATGGGGTGAGTGCCGAGCTAGCCTGGGCCGGGTCATAGTCTGCGCCTTCTCGGCTTGGCTTACGGGTTATGTTTGCGCAGGCTTTGGATGCAGCGGCATTGCAACACTTGACACAAGCGGTCATGGTGTTTTTCTCCTAGGCACATAGGTGGCGATCTAGTCTTAGAATCGATTATCATTAGTGCACCAGGCTTCCCTATTGTTTTTATTTTTGCTCAGTCTGTGTGCGCTTTTCACAGAAGCCGAGAGTGGGATCACAATTCTTGTATCTACTTGATGTAAAGATTGTGATTTAATAAAATCCTCCCTTTATCAAAAAAAAAACAGAGCATTCATCAAGATTACAAATGTCACTTCTGCCTTGTATATTCTCAAAGTAAACCAGAAAAGACATTCGGAATCTAATTGTAAGTTCTTATTAATCTCCTGTTTTAAAAAAGATTATTAACCTCGAGCGCGGTTACAACAATTTGCCTACAAATATCTCTTTTAAAATCATGTATACTTTTTTCTCACATCTAAATTTTGTTTATTTTGCTTTCTCTGGGAAAAACTGAGATGGGGTGACTTAAATTCTGTTACTCCCGCGAAAGGGCACGTAGCCTAGACGTTACAAAAGCCTCAGTAACACCTTAGATCCTGGATTTGACTCTCTGTGGATAGAGATGTACATGAATATTTATCCAACCGAATAAATATAAATGCCTATTTAGATATTTATTGGGGTATTTGGATTCTTTTTAGATACAGACAGATAAAAATCAGATACGTTATTGGGATATATCGAATATCTGGGGAATATCTGGGTATCGAATACGAATGTAATATCATAATTACCCAGTGGATAGTGGATATTCCGGGGACCTGTCCATGGCGAATAGTATCTGGCCTATAGGCGGCAAAGTACATTTTCGATTTAATTAATATTCTCAATCTCAGCCTCGTTCCACGTGTTAGGTGAACAAAGGCCACGTGTCTTTGTATGCTGCCCCACCCCTCCTTTTTTATAGCATACCCGGACACTAGACCTTCGCTCTGCTAGCAAGGTGGGACAAAATTCTTCTTGCGTTGCGGAGTGCAAACTGCAGCAAGCCGTTGCTGCTAGTTTTTTCATGCGGCCCAATAGTGTTTGGCCCGAGCACATGTGTTTTTTTTATTTTGTTTTACAAGATAAATAATGAAAAATAATATAAAAATATTTTATAGTGCAAGTTATGTCTATTACGTAGTTTAGTCTTCCCAATCAATTATCACTTACCCACCGTTACCAACGTATGCCCTTTATGTTTTGTACTAGCAGATATACCCGTGTGTTACAACGGGAGAAAATAAGAGAAAATAAGTTGTTAGATTGCAATGGAAAACGAGAAGCTATAAATATATCATAATTCAATTTGCTTTGATGCAGTTAAATATTAAGTTTTGTGACTTTCTTTGAGAATCCATAAAAATCTATTACTTAATCTTTAGTTCAAGTTGACGAGGAGTTAGTTGTTGATATGTCAAGTACTTGTCCGCCCACCGATAATTATGACGGGAGACCTCTCTCTAGTTTCCACGTTGCAAGACTCATCAGGGGTTACACTTTGTGTATTCATATTATCGAGACACAAATTTATTAAGACGAATGAACTAACAACAAGCACCTCAAGATATTAGTTTGCATTTGATTAGGTAGACCAACAGTTCAACCAGGTTCTTATAAGTTTTGTTCTTAATGAAATGAAAACTGCATCAATAATTTTTTCTTGAATGTCGATTCGAGCTGCAACGAACTCGATTCCATCGATGGTGGCTGGATTCACGTTGTGGCATGCTCGATTAGCGTTGATCAAAATCGATCTCGTGGAAAAAAAAAAGTTCAATGCTTGTAGTGACGGACCTTATTCAAACAACAGAGGCTCGATTTGGTGCGGAAGGACTCAAATCGCAGCAGGAAGCTCGATTCAGTAATAAACGAGCTTTATTGGAGCGTAAACATGGACGTCGCTAGTCGCGGGATGGAAGCACGGGGCTGTGCGGTTTGGGGGGACTTTTGGGTTCTACCTGCAGCCCGCTCGTTTTCTGCATGACTTTACTGGGTTAAGAGCGGAACTAACCCAACCCACGTAAGCTCAACTGCCACGGTTTCATCAGGGTTGGTTCCGGTCTGGTTTGCGCTTTTGTCACCAATGAACAGGGCTAGTACAAAGAAACAGACTCTCCATACTTAAATATGTAGGATAGTGATAAAAAAATATTTAGGATAAATAAATCGAAAAAGGACCGGGACTCTTTGTGATTTAATACCGGAATAAGATACGCGACTTTTATTTATTTTTATTTCTGTTTCTATTTGAATTAGGATTTCTATTCAGCTTACTCAGAATCGAAGAAACCTATTTGGATTAGAATTCGTAGCTATTCAGGTGTCCAAGCTAGGCATATATAAAACATATAGGACGGTTGTAGACATACAAATAGAAACAGTTTGGACATTCACATAGTTAATTTGTTTGGGAGGGCCGGACCAAAATAATGGAACCGAAAAAGTGACGGAAATTTTGCCTCTTTATTATTAGGTATAAATATGTATCTTATCTCTTATTTGTTGCTTTACTCTTCAGGGTTAATCTAGATGGGTTTTGGACTCAGAGAGTGGTGTAATGGGCAACGCAACTACGATATATATAAATGTTGCTTTTACTCATTATCCGAATAGATATTTGTTTCCAACATTCTTCGAATCCGATTCATACCGTATTCGATAATCAATATTTGCATTCGTAACCTAGATAATCCGTATTCGTTATCTGACAGCTATCCATGTCTGAATCCGAATTCGAAAAGAAATATGAAAACAAATATAATATCAGTGATATCCGTTCGTATTCTATCCGTTTTCATCCCTGTGTGGGAGCGAATATTTCAGAATTTCACGGCATTGTGTTTTCATTGGTAGGCGACATTTCCGTCGACAACGAGACATCTGTGGTGACTTCATCAATTTCAAGGATTTGCCATCTCAGTCTTCGAAGATGTTCATAGGGGTAGGGTGAGTGTGCGTACTTTATGAGTGTCTGCGTTGTACTGTGTAATAAAAAAAATTCTCTTACCCCCTTCGTCCTAGAAAAATTGTCTTGCCTTTCAAGGATTCAATCAATAAATTTCAAGTTTCACTACACTTATAAAACATAGTGTGAACATTAATATTTCCAATTATATTTCCTGCAAAATATAATATTATGTATAGAGAAACTTTATTAAATTTAAAATTGGTTGACTCTCAAAAAACAAGGCGGTGGAAGTATCTAGAGCTCACAGGTGTTAGAGGGCATCAAATCGACAATTATTGCCAGTCGAATCAAATAAATAAAAGACGATGTTTACAGCAGGTTGCGATCATGGATTGCACACAAGTACATGAAGCAAAAAAAAAAAAAATCCCATGATTGTCTAATCTCCTTCTGGAGGCTATGGTACGATTTAATCTAAGTTATACATGATAGATTCAGATTTTCAGGTGAAGTGGCGGCGGTGGCACTACTAGCTGACTTTCCTTTCCTCTCTGAATCCAGTCCAGGATCAAGCCGACAGGTGCATGTGCAACCCACGAATTGAGGAAGCAAGCCACCTTGCGATTCCAGCTCGCCAGCACCTGCACCTGATCTTGTTGCACCTGCAGCTTCCTTTTCCTACTACCTGCCCTAGAAATTGCCCGTCGTTCTGCACATGGCATCTCCTCCATCCTTGGCTTCTCGAACTCAATGTACTCAGTGCCATGTCTAGACTTCCAAAGCAGTTGGCAGGATGTCGCCTCGGGGTTCTGGTAGAAATAATCTGTTGCCTTTGGCAGCATGATCTCATTCATCTGGTCCAAGGTAATGTCAGTATGCACATAGTGCTGTTCTTCATCGTAGACCGTCACTACTGCAGAGTTCTTTTCTTCAGGAAGCCTATGCTTCGTAGAACCATGGGGCGTGAAGAGGAGCCCAGCTTTCAGATATGGAGAGTAGTCCTGCCTAGAACTTCTGCGTCGAGATGGCGAGGTTGTGGTCTGCTGCTTGTAGTTGTGCTCGGATACCGGGACTTGACACTCCAAGTTTATTAGAATGAATCCAGAGAAACATCTGGAATTCCTACCATGTCTGGTTGACCAATGCAACGAGGCTTATTATTCTGCAGACCTTGTTGCTTGACTTGCTTCTTGCAACACAATGGGTCTGGACGAAACCACTGAGTGCAGAAGCTGTGGAGATTGTCCCAGTGCTTCTTGCACCCATGAGAAGTCCTGTGTTGGAAGCTGAGTGAGCTCTTTCTTGATGGTTTCAATTGTAGGCTGGAAACAAGGAGGAAAGAGCTGCAGGCAGTTCACTACTGTCCCAACTCTGTCTGTGCTGTCAGATATCTGCAGCATTGCACAAAGAAAGAAGTTGTTCTCCGGTGCATTATCATCTTTATGGACGAATTTCAGGCAGGCTTCTACCCCATGATCCGGAGTGATGGAAGGGACCAGCCATAGCAGATAAGAAGGGTACTCATTTCCCCAAACAATCTTATGCTGGAGCTCCATGCCCGCAAAAAGGTTCCTGTTAAGAGACTTGAATGGCATGTGACAGCGTGGTGTGCCACCAACTTCAACGTATCTCAGAAATTCACTGGCTCCATCTGCAAACCACTCGAACCTTTGAACCATGGATCTGCTCGGCTCATTTTTGTCACTGAAGGCAGAGAAAATGAATGACTTAGTAGCGCGTGCAATCCGGCTATGGAGGGAGGAGTTCATCAGCTCTTGTTCCACCTGCTCGTCTTCATGGATCCTTTGCTTGAATTTGTGCAGCATGTCATCACACTCTTCGGCAACACGCTTCAGCTTCTTGCGCCAATGCAGCAAAGATGCATCTGTGATCTGCCACTTGTTAGATGTCTCAAGAGCAGCCTCCAGCCTGATGTGTGCCATCTCTAACCTCTCAAAGTTTCTGTTTGCATCATTTGATTCCGCATACCTCTGAACTAGACCAGATAGGATTTGGCTAACTGTGTCCTGGGCAACCACGGAACTGACCATCTCTGCCGCCATTAGGGTCAAGCATATGTAGCACTCGTTCCCTGCTCAGGAGAAAGCAATATGAAACATTTTCAGATATATGAACCTTGTATTTGTTTTCAGGTAAAGGATATATGAACGTTTTACCACAATCAAAAATTTAGACAACTGCATGAAAGCTGTGGCAGTTTTACCCTGTTTACTATAGAGAGGTATTCTGGATGTTAAATGCATCTGTGATGTTAGATGAAAATATATTAAAGACAGCGAGCTCCATAAGTTAGACAGGCTATGATCATGCAGGAGACAGGTTAAGAATGATGGAGACGGGTGTCGAGGAATTGGTGTGCACAACACCTAAATAAAGAACTCAGCGACGTCCAAATCTCCTAGTGGAAAAGGGAAGATGCAAGTCAATAGTGGACTTGGATAGTGCACAGTGGAGAACACAGCAAAATGCATTGAGGGTCAGAAACTTTTCTCATAGTGCCCTCTTCTTTATCCTCAAACTTTTAAAATGTATTTTTAAGTCCCCATAACTAACTTATTTATGGATTTGTTAATCCGTTTGGCCGGTTCTCAGTAGATGTGAATTTGACATGCACATGCATAGTTTTTTGAGGCTTTGGTGTCCTATATAGCGGGGATATGCCTAGATGCCTAGGCAATATGACGTCACTAAAACATTATGGGGTCGTCCTATGACATGTAGGATATGTCTCAAAAATCCGTACTAGTTGAACTTGCGGACCGTGTTCATCTCGGCGAGCATGTTCTCTGGCGAGCGGTAACGGACGTCAAGGAGGAGCTTTGATTCTACGAGGGAGAGTGGCAACGGTCGTGGAAGACTGTGTTCCCTTCCTCGTAGAATCGGAGCTCTTCCTTGACCAAGTACGGTGCCGTCCGGTGGAGAAATGCTCGCCGAGATGATCACGTAAGCAAGGTCAACTAGTACGGATGGTTATTTATTTACATGTCCTGATATCGTCGTAGTAGTCTGTCAATCACCGTACCCAAACGTAGTATATATATAAATATAAACTTAGAAAATAGTTAGAAAATTATAGAAAATCCATACTAGTTGAACTTGCGGACCGTGTTCATCTCGGCGAGCATGTTCTCTGCCGAGCGGTAACGGACGTCAAGGAGGAGCTTTGATTCTACGAGGGAGAGCGGCAACGGTCGTGGAAGACCGTGTTCCCTTCCTCGTAGAATTGGAGCTCTTCCGTGGCCAAGTACGGTGCCGTCCGGTGGAGAAATGCTCGCCAAGATGATCACGTAAGCAAGGTCAACTAGTACGGATGGTTATTTTTTCACACGTCCCGACATCGTCGCAGTAGTCTGTTATGTGTGTACACTCCCATTCTTCTGTTAATTTGCGGAAATATCATGTGAATTACTTACCTGCCGCAGTAAAAGACGAGAATACAATGACCATTAAAAATATCATTGTTTAGAGATCTAGATAATTTTATAGTTTCTTAATTTTATTTGTTTATAAAAGGAGAAATTTATAGTGTATTAAAAAATGAGTATAGAGAGTAGATGGCAACTGCTTTCGGGTCCTCGGCCTCTCATGGGTTTCCAAAGCGACTTAGGCCGGGCCTCCCTCTCATTCCATGCGGCAAGTGTCGTGATGAGACGAAGATTGTGATGGAGTACCGAGTGAAGAAGGAGGGTCCCAACAAGGATCGTATCTTCTACAAGTGTCTGGATCGCAATGTGAGTTATTTTATCGTATTTAATGATTATGGTTAGTTTATACCTATTTTCATGATGGTTGTGATTAAAGTTCTAATTTTTTGTTTTAATTTCAGTGGGATGGCAGTGGACGATGTTCAGGCTTCTACTGGGAGGAAGAGTATGTTGAACTCGTGCAAAAATATCTTGCTGTGAGTGAGATCTGGCGGCTAATGAGGCAGTGATCCAGCCGAAGAAGCCCAAAGATGTTGCACAATCGGGGGATCTGTCTGTTTTAGTTGAGATTGGTCATGAAATCCTAGTGCTACTGAAATGTATTTTAGCTTTAGTTCTTTTAGTGGTAGTTGGGATTGTCTACATTGTAACGATGCTTTCATAAATTTGTATCTTTTGTGGTGGCACGCATGTTGTATAAATAATTAATTATGATATAGGTTTTAATATGGTATTTATGTCATGTAATGCAGATGAGCCGTCATTGGACGTATAATGCTGATCGCCGCTCCCAAGAGTTCATTGACGGTGTGCATTCTTTGTTACGTGCGGCCGAGGCAAACAAACGCGATGGTTTCATGTGCTGCCCATGTGCCATATGTAAGAATACGGTGGAATATCCTTGCTCAAGGACTCTTCATTCACACTTGTTCAAGTCGGGTTTCATGCCAAACTATATTTGTTGGACAAAGCACGGAGAAACCGGTGTTGTAATGGAAGAAGGTGAAGAAGAACAATGGGACGACAATGATATTATTCCCGATGGTGCGTGCTTCAATGATACTGCAATGGGAGAAGCTGAAGAAGAGGTAGCCGCAGAAAATGAGCCGGTTGATGATCTTTCTCAGGTCATTCGTGACGCCTTTAAAGAGAATGTGAAAGTGAAAAGAGAAGATCAAGTTTGAGCGGATGCTAGAAGATCACAAGAAATTGTTGTACCCAACTTGTGATGCGAGGCGAGAAAAGTTGGGAACCACACTAGAATTGCTGCAATGGAAGGCAAAGAATGGTGTATCGACAAGGGATTTGGAGAGTTACTAAAATTCAAAAGAAGATGCTTCCGAAGGACAATGAATTGCCCGCCACTACCTACGAAGCAAAACAAGTTGTCCGTCTCCTATGGGGCTAGAAATAGAGAAGATACATGCATGTCCTAATGACCGCATCCTATACTGCGGGCAAAAGAGTACGAGAAATTGAATGCATGCCCGGTATGCCATGCGTCATGATATAAGATCGAAGCGAGATGACCTCGGTGATGTTGAGGGCGAACGTCCGCGGAAGAAAATCCTCGCCAAGGTTATGTGGTATGCTCCTATAATACCACGCTTGAAACGTCTGTTCGTAAACAAAGAACATGCAAAATTGTTGCGATGGCACAAAGAAGACCGTAAGATAGACAATATGTTGAGACACCGTCTTTGATGGGTCCCAGTGGGAAGCAATCGATGAGAATTCCGGAGTTTGCAAATGATGCAAGAAACTTAAGGTTTGCTTTAAAATGAGATGGTATCAATCCTTTTGGAGAGCGTAGCAGTAGTCATAGCACTTGGCCTGTTACTCTAAGTATCTACAACATTCCTCCTTGGTTATGCATGAAGCGGAAGTTCATTATGATGCCTGTGCTCATCCAAGGCCCGAAGCAACTCGGCAATGACATCGATGTGTACACGAGACCACTTATTGACGAACTTCTCATTTTGTGGAATAAAGAAGGTGTACGTGTGTGGGATGAGTACAAACAGAACACTTTGATCTGCGTGCATTGTTGTTCATAACAATCAATGATTGGCCTGCTCTAAGTAATCTTTCAGATACCAAATAAGGGATATAATGCATGCACACACTGCTTCGGTGATATTAGAGGTGTATTCTTGAAAAAATGTCGAAAGGTCGTGTACCTTGGCCATCGCCGATTTCTTCCCTAAATCACCCCGTAAGAAGAAAGAAAGGCAAGCATTTTAAAGGGAAGGCGGACCACGACCAAGCCTCGCAACCGAACCGGTGAGGATGTACTCGATATGGTCAATGATGTGAAAGTCATCTTTGGAAAAGGAGATGGAAGCCAACCTGTTCCGAACGACGCTAACGGTCACGCACCCATGTGGAAGAAGAAGTCCATATTTTGGGACCTACCCTATTGGCAAGTCCTAGAGGTCCGTAGCTCGATCGACGTGATGTACCTAACAAAGAATCTTTGTGTGAACCTGCTAGGCTTTATGGGTGTGTATGGAAAGCCTAAGGACACATTTGAAGCACGACAGGACCTGCGTTGTTTGAGAGAAAGAGACAACCTGCATCCAGAGAAGACAGATGATGGACGCCATTACTTACGTCCTACTAGCTACACTCTAAGCAAAGAGGAGAAGGAAATCATGTTTGAATGCTTAAACAACATCAAGGTACCATCTGGATTCTCCTCGAATATAAAGGGTATTATAAATGTTGCAGAGAAGAAATTCTATAACTTAAAGTCCCATGACTGTCACGTTCTCATGACGCAATTACTCCCAGTTGCATTAAGAGGAATTCTACCTCCAAATGTGCGTCTAGCCACCGTGAAGCTATGTGCATTCCTTAATGCAATTTCTCAGAAGGCAATTGATCCAACTGATCTAGCTAAACTACAGAATGATGTGGTTCAATGTCTCGTCAGCTTTGAGTTGGTGTTCCCTCCTTCCTTCTTTGATATTATGACACACCTCCTAGTTCACCTAGTCAAGGAGATTTTCACTCTCGGTCCTGTGTTCCTACACAACATGTTCCCCTTAGAGAGATTCATGGGAGTCCTGAAGAAATATGTTCACAACCGTGCTCGCCTAGAAGGAAGCATCGCCAAGGGCTATGGAACAGAAGAGGTCATTGAGTTCTGTGTTGACTTTATTCCTAACCTTGACTCGATTGGTGTTCCTGAATCGAGACATGAAGGGAGACTAAGCGGAAAGGGGACACTAGGGAGGAAAACATATATTGGTACGGATGATGATTATTTCAATAAAGCGCACTACACAGTTCTACAGAACTCCTCTTTGGTAGATCCGTATATTGAGACACACAAGGATCTCTTACGATCCGAGTTTCCAGGGAAGACTGAAGCTTGGATTACGCGTAAGCACATGGAAACTTTCAGCGGTTGGTTGCGAAAAAAATGTCAAGGTGATGAGAGCATCCATGAGCAACTGTATTTATTGGCTATGCAACCATCATGGCATATTGTCACATACAAAGGGTACGAGATAAATGGGAACATATTCTACACAGTAGCCCAAGATAAAAGGAGTACCAATCAAAACAGTGGTGTCCGCATAGATGCCACAGACCCGAAT